TATATATATATATATATGTTATGTATGTTATATATGTATGTTATATATATGCTATATATATATGCTATATATATGTTGTATATATGTTATATATGTTATATATGTTATATATATATTTAACACGTTACAGAATATATATTAGCACGTTACAGAATATTACTCACCATAGCAGTGATAAATCCTTCCATGGTACAAAACTGAGAATCTAAACCTATGAGAAGAAGCATGAAGAAGAAGAGACAAGACCAAAGGGGCGCTCCAGGAAGCTGAAGAACCGCAGAAGGATAAGCTAAGAAAGCCAATCCTGGACCAGAAGCGGCGACTTCCGCGACAGGCTTTTGCTGTTCGTGAGCCATGAAGCCAACCACGGAAAATATGACGAAACCAGCGAACATGCTCGTCGACGAGTTGACCGAACAAACGATTAGTGCGTCTTTGTAAACGTTATTTGTGAATTTATTGTAACTACCGAGGGCCACTAATGTACCCAAACCTAGTCCGTATGAGAAGAAAATTTGAGTAACAGCGTCTATCCATACCTGAAAAAGTTCAACAAGCTGATTAGTATAAAGATGAAAACAATTGCCAAAGATGTTCCATTTCTGAATCGTCAAAAAAGAAAAAAAGAAGAAAATGATCGTTGCAACGTAAATGGTTAATCGTGGTTTACCTCGGATTCTTTTAGTTTAGAAAGATTTGGACTGATATAAAATCGAATGCCCTCCATGGCGCCAGGTAAAGTGATGCCGCGAATCAGAAGAATCGTTAATAGAACATACGGGAACAACGATGTAAAGTACACCACCTTTCCAGTCCACTTAACACCTTTCCAAATACAAAAGTAGCAAAGGATCCAAACCAGAAGTAGAGTACCAGCTAGTTCCCAGCGGATATTCCCCACGTACTCCACGCCTTCGCTGATCTGAAGTGCTCGACGTCTAAAAAAAAAAAAATATAGCATTTTACACGATCGGAGGAACTTCTTCGTATCGTTTTAATTAATTATTTAACGAAACACACTTACTCCCAAAATTCTTTAACCGGATCGGTAAGCTCTGTGATTGTCATATTGACGTCGTTCACCGAACATACTTTCACGTAATTGTGATGTTTAGTAACTTGATTCCAACAGAGCAGCGAATCCCTGTCGTAGGGATTCACGCAGTTCTTCGTGTTCCAATAATTATTGCAGCTGCCCCACGGTAATTCTGATTAGATGGGACATGAAAAATCGATATATAGATTATCACCAAGTTACAAGCTATACGCCTGTGAGATTTATCTTTCTATTCTACGCATTATGTGAAATGGGATATCCAGTTAAAGAACCAACCACTGCGCATCGACATGAAGAAGTAGAAGATAGCCCAAGCGAGAATGACAATGTAATAGACGTTCATCCAACAGGACATGACAGCGGCGGCATATCCGATACCCTTGAAAAGTGGCGCTATTTTAAAGACACCGAGACCGCCAACGGTGAGCATTTGGCCGAGTGCTAGCTCCATAAAGAACATTGGTATCCCAGCGAGAAACAGCGTCAAGAAATATGGGATTAAAAATGCCCCGCCGCCGTTCTTGTAACAGAGATATGGAAATCTCCAGACATTGCCCAGGCCAATAGCTAGGCCAACCTTTCGAATTGAATTGAATTGTATATTGTAAGATTAATGCATAACGGAAGAAGAAGTGTAAGAAGAAGTGTAATCGGCTTATTGCCAATTGATAAAGTTACCACACTCAGTATGAAATCTAATTTGGTGCTCCATGTGCCACGTTCTGGCAGCGGCTTTGTCTTATTAGACGTGGACGTCAAATTCAACGCGGTTTTGTCAGGGCTTTCAGGATCCGCGAGTTCCGGCTCCCTCGATGCTTCCGTCATTTTGAACGATGTGTCCTGCTCACCGTGAAAAAGCTGCTCTCTCTCGTTTTCGATGACTCTCTCTCTCTCCTTCTCTCTCTTTCTCTCTCTCTCTCGCGCGCGTATTCCTGCACTGGCTCGCCGAACTACCTCACGGAGACATAACAGTGTTTCTGTCGACAATGAAATTACGTATTACAATTTGCATTTGCTCGTCTGTTCGTCGTGTCACGTGTGCAATTTTTGTACGAAATATTTCTCGATAGTTCTATCGCGAGCGTGGATTACCAGCCCTTTTTTCAGACGTAGTCAACGACTTTCAAGGACTCGCTGAAAGGACGTAGTTTTGCGGAGAACGAGCTTGACCGAGTTTTTGTCTTTACCGGAACCGGACACGATTTGCGCGTCTCGTCGCGTGGAAAAATTCACGGGAAGCTGTTAGACGCCGAAATTCAAGGATATACCGGAGGCTGTCTCTAGTCGGAAGAACGACAACGAATGTCACCGACTGTATAGAATTCAACATTTCACACGGTTGTTTCGCTCGATTCCAATACTTCGCTCGTCAGATCGAAAGAAAAATTATTGAATTATTTTATTCACCTCACAAGCGTCATAAAGCGAGTGAAAATCGAAAGCAGGGACTACGTGATAAAAAAAAAAAAAAAGATAACGTCTCGGTGATTCTTAACTCGGTTTTTTCCGATCGTGGAGTCGGGCGAAGAAAGTGGGGACAACGAGCTGGACAACGCGAGGCCGGAAATCAACAAGAAAGAAAGATTAAGGCGTAAAAGTAACATCGATACGATCCGGTTAAATACGAATGTCCGGCTGGGGAACCCTGTAATGAATATCCGAGTCCGTGCGCGTTCCCCCAAAGCTCCAGCAGCCTCCCTGGCCCCTTCGCGGCCTGATCCATTGCTCTGGCTCCCTCTTCCTCTTCCACGCTCATAAAAAACAGCTATATTCTAATTAGCCGAGAATGCGTTGTTCCGCATAACTCCGACATTGCTATGATCTTGAATTTCTCCCTTACGATCGATCGATTTCTCGCTAAATTTCCAACAGCTATGGTGGCACTCTTCCTTCCGTCGATCGGACGTTCGTTTCTCGGTCAATGACGCGCCGCACGTGTGTTACATCGTGTCCCCCAATCGTGTGTGACACGTTGGCCGTAAAAATAAGGATTTCTAATTTCTTTTCAATACAAACCTAAACCTTTGTGGGTGGGTCAGTTATCGATCTCACGACACTTGGTCAGCCAACTTGGTCACCGTGTGCGAAATTCCTCCTCGCGAGTTTCCACCTAGCTTAGGCTATGAGAGAAGAAGAACCGACGACGACAGACGCGCGAAAGATACGATTTATTTAGCCGATTTGGGAAGAACTTCGTCCCGGGGGGGAGGGGAGGAGGGGATACCGATGTATGCACTGCACAGCACGGTACTCTTGATTTCTTCACGCAACAGCTCGATTAGGTCGAACGGGCGCCATCACAGAGCTTTCGAAGCGAGTCCTCTCTCGGAGTTTGAGCTTGCAACTCGGGGAGGGGAGGGGAAAAAGAAAAGGTACGAAGGAACAGGATGTGTGATCCACACTCCGGGGGGGGAGGGAGGGGAGGAGATCCGGCAAAAGAGCTGGATAGCTCGACGATCAAGAGCTGAGGGGTTCTCTTGATCCTGGTGGTTCTAGCAACAACGTGTTGGTTACGATCATCGATTACTACGCGCGATCTACACGAACGAGACGAGAACTGTTCACGGCTGTTCGTTTCCTCCTCCCTTGGTCTTCCTCTTTTCTCTCAACTTTGTTCTCCCTCTCGCCTCGTCCCGATCTCGTCGACGTCTGAAAGACGATGTATATCGAAGGGCAACGATGCGAATACTCGGCCGGCCCGCTCAGAACTGGAACCAGGAGTTCACTTTCAACGGCGGACTAGCTGAAATATCGGGGGTACAAAATATCGGGGGATCCCCCTTTTCCTTTTCTTTTCCCCCCTCCGGTCCACCCTTGCCGTGTCACATCGGTGTCACGCGTTTATCCCGCGCGCGCTTGCCTGCTTGCGCACACGGAGCGAGAGGGGACGAGGAAAACAAGGAGAAAGAGGGTCACCAAGATCGCAACAGTATATCATCATCAAGTTGACGGCTATCCCGACGATGCCTGTGCTCTTTGTCGTCGTTGTTTGCCTACATCCACATACGTATCCATCTTCTATCGATGATCTTTCGATTCTAGCTTGCAACTGCTGATTATTTGCAACGCAATCGACGACAGAAAGGAAGAAAGAAAGTCCCCTAAAAATGCAATGAAAAGCTTCGTTGTATAGAATTTTGAGGACCTCGTTCTCGATCAATTGTATAGGAGAGCCTTAGAAACAGAAGAAAAAAAAAAATATCATTTGCAAGGAGACTTGTGTTTATTCGTGAAACAGCATCATAATTGCATAACGACGTTTCCCATCGTTTTCGAAAGCGTGTAATTTCGAACACGGTTACGATACAAATTTCCCGCGTTGTCGAAGCCTTTGTCATTATCGAAGTATATACGTTTTCTCTCGTACGAAGCAAGTTTCTGTGCTTTCTGAGCGAAATGAAAGAGCGCTATAAAGTAGGTGAGCAAGACTAGGAAGCTAGTATATCCGGAGGGTTCACGTGACACCGATCTATCGCTACATCCGTTCTGGGTACACTCCGTAATATAGATCATCAGGATGATCGACATTAACTCACACAAATCCCGAGGCATCTGCCATAGATAAAGATCACT